AAACCTCCAAACATTTGAAACCTTATCTTTCATCAACTGTGTGTGTGTATATATATATAGTCTATCTTTTTATTCTGTTACTTTCTAATCTCAAATTTTTTTCTTATAGAAAAATGATAGTTTTAGCTGATAATTCATCAGGTAATGAATTGGACTTTGACAGAAACTCAGCAAAGAGCCTCTGGATGTAAAAACTGCTGGTGTGAAAATACCATCTGTACTAACCACTGGAAGCAAGCTGCAAAAATCCCAATTGCTGAGCAATGTCTATCTTGCAAAGTGAGAACATAGTCAAGTACAACAAGCCCTGTGGTCCAAGTGCCTTCTCTCCCTCTTGGAGTCTGTTAACTGCTGTAGCTGAGATTTAGATCAATTACACTGCATATTGCTGAGATCATGTGTTTTGCTGACAGACAGGCTTGTATCCTGCTCACTCTCATCCATCTCAGTCACATTAGCAGCTTCAAAGGTATTAAGAAGTGAGCAAGCCTGACCTTCTCAGCCCCAAATGACCTTGGGGAATTTTTTTTTGTGGTGTTTGTATGTGGACAGCAGACAACAGGTGAGTCTATGTAGACACTATTAGTAAAGCTATATGTCTCTGCAACAAGGCATTTTGAATGAGAAAGTAGAATTTCTGAGGTGTTTATAGGTGCACACTTTTCGGTCCTTGATATTGACCTGCAGAATTAAGCTTCTCATGAGTCAGATTAGTAATTGTGGAAATGGTTTGGCTCAAACAGAATGAATGCATCCATTTTTCATTTTCTCTTTAGGTGCTTAATCTGAAACCATTTTTTAACAAAACTTTTTGTATTAAATGTAATTTTCTTAGTATTCTCTTCACATACCATTTTGGTTTAACAGCTAAGGCAGAAAACTGACACACATTTAATGTTTTTACTTTAGAAAAAAAAATGTACTTGGCTTCTGGAAATGTCTGTACATTCATTTTAGGCTGTAGAAACACCAAGCAATTTTTTTTCATCCATTTATGTCTTAGCCCCATTTCCTGAAGTTTTCCTCCCATGTATGCTGGAGTTTTTTCCATCTCTCACCGTGCTCTGTTTATTATTCTTACAGCTTAGAGTTTTCTTCTTCCTCAGCTGCCAATTTTTCAGTTGTGATCAAGTGTCAAAAGGAAAACAAGCATAAGCATCAATTACCAAAAATTACATAGTCAGTTTACATATTCATTAGAAGAAAGGATTTTTCTCTCATTGCATACTGGATGTAAACTGCAACTAGGCATGTGAGTTGTCTTCATATTCATTTTCACATCTGAAATCTAACAGCTAGGTTGAGTAATCCAGTATTCACCTGCCAGGCATGAAGTTCTTGCAGTATATGAGCGATACCTTTAAATCTTTTAATACTGGAGGTTATTCAAAATATTTCAAGTACCATCTTTTCTGCAGGAACAATTTTTTAGTCTCTTCTCCAGAGGAAGACTGTAATCCCAGGTTACATGATCTTCCACTTCAAATTATTTTGCATTTTCCTCTCTCCCTCTTCCTCACTTTGTTTTTTCCTGAACACATTGATGGGTATTCTACAAAATTTAAGTTAAAAATCATAGAAACAGAACCATCATACTGTAATTACTTTTAATTTTGTTACCATGAAACAAAATGTTTTCTTTATAATGGGGAAAAAAAATGTTTGGGGAAATTATTGTTGGAATTAAATTTTTTTTTCAGTATATAATATGATTTTCTTTTTTACTATGAAAATGAATTATAGACAAGCATATACTCTCCATCAGAAACAGAAAAAGTAAGTGGGGTAAACTGGCATTTCTCAAGGTATTTTAAGGCATTATAAAGATTTCTATTTGTGCCCCTACTAGTTTGTAGGGTATACACTGTGGACATCCTTGTTGCAAAGCATTCTTTAACCACTCTAGAAATATGAGGTTTCCTTCATGTTGAAATGTGCTGGACTTTTTAGGAGCTGTATTTAAAGTGCTTCTTCAGCAGTCTGTTTGGCCCATTTGATGCCAGTTGGGTCTGTCTAGTACAGATTGGTCTGCTAAGATGGGAGAAAAATCAAGCAAAATCCCAGATTTGTGCAACCATGGGTTGTCCATTCCTACCTTGGCCTCTGTGACAACCTTCAGCTGCTCGTTGTGCAGGCTGAAGCAGATCCCTTAGTTCATAACAAGACTTTAGAAAGTCCTTTGTGGCTGCTTCAACATGAAAACACAACTCTGTGGATCTGATGGCAGGAATGTGGGCTTCAACTGGTTTGGGCAATGATGCTGTTATTCCTTCACTTGGTGAGCAGCGATTGAAATCATAAACTGTTGCTTTCCACATAGATGATAGGGAGAACAGCTGCTGCCTTGAGGAAAAATCAAACCATTTCACTTCTAGAATACCTTTATAAAGCCATATAAATGTACTTTCCATTTTGTGTACCTGGGAATAGCTAAGCCCAAGCATAGTTAGAGGTAGACTAGTTGAAATATTGCAGTGAAACTTGTCATCAAGCCCTTCCTAGTGTTTGGGTCACTTTGGCACCTGCAGTCTTAAGACTTCAAAGCTTGCAAACACAACTCAAACTCAGTCTGAATGTAGTGTGAGCATACTCCTTTAGAGATTTTTACCTCTGACATGCATCTTTGTTGAGACTGGCAACAAGCCTGCTAATTTTTACCAGTTGTAACAGATTGTTTCAATGCCTTTTACCCTTTATATAAAGATGGTCTGCTGAAATGCCTGTATTTTCGTGTTTAAAGCCATTGAACCTTTCGTAACTGGTAAAATCATGTATTCACTCTACTTTTCTTAAATGTTTCCAGAACACACAACTGGGCTGCAGCTCTGTATATGTTCCTAATTTCCTTCTATCTCAAAGCCATGGAGATGTCCTATGATGCTTTTCCTCAACCCTGAAATATCTGGAGCACTTCCTGATGTCATTGATGGGCTCCATTTCTTATTTCTCTGTTTGTAGAAGGAGTGGAGAAACTCCTGGGTGTGGACAAGCAGAATGATGGCAATCCCTGGCTGGCCACTGGCCCCTTGGGATGCTGTTACCATTTGGTGCAATGCCGAGCAGCCTGTAATAACTCCTGCCTCTTTTGGGTAAGAGGGCAGAAGAAAGGGAACATATGACTTTCTTCCGTGACTTACTACCCTGTAAAAGGATTTTAAAAAATCTTTGGGTAAAAATTTAGGCCTCAGATGCACACATGTGGATCTTGCTAAGTTCTTAGAAGGCCATGTGAGTGTGTTTATTAACAAAGTATGGCTTTTGATCTTTAAGAACAATTAATATAAAATATGTAAAAACGCTACTGTTTAATAGGAAATTTTTTGATACTTTGTTAAAAACACTCCCCAAACTGAAATACAAAACAATGCAATATTCCAAGCCTTGATCTTTTAATGGTCTTTCTTCACCAATGCTTATCTCACCTTTGATGCTGTTTGTAAATGTGTTTGGCTCTTATGATTTGAAATTTAGTAAAATATTTGTACTTAATGAAGTAACAAGCTCAAGCACCTTTCTGTCCTCATATCTGTCCATACTTGAGAATGTTACCATATTTAGAAGAGAAATACTTGTCCTGGCTGCCTGCAGGGACTCCCCTGTGACCAGGCCTTTTCTGCTACCACACAAAACCCAACTGTGATGGCTCAGCACTCATTCCATAAGCTTGCAAGCACAGAGACTTTCAGCATGTGCTTACATTTATGATCCTGAAGGTTGCCCAGCATCTCTTGTAGCTATTACCTGAAAGAGTGTGATGGATTAAAAACCTGTGCTGACATAGACCTCTCAGGGGCCTGCAAGACTGACAGCTTGAAGGTGGCTCCCCAGGGTCTATTGACACCTTGAAACTGCTGCAGTTGCATCAACCTGTGAGTGGGTGGTAATGAAAGGCAGTGAACCTCGACCAGAGGCACCTTGGTTTTCATTTTACCTACCCGAAATTCTCGGTGTGTTGGTCTGACCGAAATGTTCACCATGAAATCTGAAGCAGCTTCTGCTTGGAAGGGTTTCCACAAGCAGAAAAGCAGAAACCAGGGGTGAGCAAGTGGTACTGAGTCTGCTTGAGACAGGTTTTTAGGAGGAACAGCAAACTCTCCTATTTCCTCATCAGGGAAATAGCACAATGTGATTTTTGAAGAAGAAGCCAACATAAGACCTTTTCAGGTCTCCATTGGTCTGTCAAATAGCAAATAAAAGGATTAACTGTAGGAGCCACTTCATCAAGGTAACACTCTTAGATGAATAGGATTGTTGTGCTAACTCAGAACAAGCATTTGCATGTTTTCATTGAAATGAGGTGTGGTCTAATTCCCTATTCCCCAGTTTACACAAGAGACCTTTCTCCTGAAAAGTTTCCTCAAGTCTTCCTGGTTGTAAGACTGGATTTGTTCCCCCTTCTGTACTGGAGCATCTTTATTTTTTGGTTGAAGTGTTTAATATGTATTCACCTTCAGGCAGAAACTAAAGCTAGAACCTTTCCATCTGGTCCTTTAGCTGAGATTTTATGAAGTCACGAACAATGGAGGGAAGGGTGACAACAGAAACATACATGCAGCCCTAACCATAAAAAAGAACTTGTAATTTAGCAATAACAAATATATATATATTTACAGTATTTCTATTTTGCTGATTCTCAAACTCCAATGGACTGAATATTATTTTGCTATTAAGCTTCATGGATTACAGCTGAAGTCATAATATTCTAAGAAAAACTATCTCAATGAGTTTGGATTGGAGTTTTATTGTTTAGTTGATTGTATCAGATGCTGTTTATTTCATTCAGATCCACATGTAAAAAACATTTATTATTATTTTTGGTGACATTAATTTGGTGTGCAAAATTACTTTTTGTCCCACTGCCCATCTCTTTAAAGAGTACTGACTAAAATTTTGCTGAAAAAATTAAAGCAGCAGAGAAATAACAAACAAACATAAAACAGGACCCACAAACAAACAAAATTACAAAAAACACCCTGGAGACCGAAACTCTGTTTTTTTCATGCCTTGTTAGACTATTGGAAAATACTTATTTGCAGCAAATTGTTACAAAGGTAGAAGTGAGGAACAGAATTCTATAGCTTATAGAAAAGTATTGACATAGCTGGAGAGCAGGTACATTACCTAGCACCCATCCCCTGTCCTCTTTGTAGTTGGAAGTATGCCCTGCAGTGCTTTGGAGACGAGAGAAGCTGAAACCAAAAGATTCTCTACATAATGCTGTATTACAATGAACCTTTTCAATGTGTTAATACAGTAGAACCCCTGTTATCTGAATTCCATATTCTTCAATTACCGTAGCTTGTGATTCAGATAAATGGGAATCACCAAGACATAAACTTGCACTGTATATTAACTCACTGTATATTAATCTCTTTCTAGTATTATTTATATAATCTGCAGCATGATTTGGCACATAAGCACAGCAGATTTAGTTTATTTTACAAATTCAGTGCAAATTCTCTCTTGCACCAAAAAATGCATTCAAGTTATACCTCAAGGTACAAATCCAAATTAATGTTAACCAGGCTTTGCATGTTCAAGTTTGTAAGCATATCCTAGCAGATTCATCAGAAAGAAGGCTAGTCAGTGCAAATGAAAAATAAGAAACTATTATCTGTGTTGCAGCACATGTAGAAGTGAAGATAGGATCTACTTTCATTCTTTTCCAGCTGCTGGAAGATTTTAGATAGTGTTTTGGAATGCTTCTTTCTTCTATTTATATTCAAGAATGGAGTAGAGAAGGTCTCGAGGCAACTGAAGCCCTATGGTAAATTGATTGAAGTACATGCAGGTGGATAATTTGTGAATTTTGTTCCTGGCACTACAACAAGAGATGATGCTGAAGGTAGCTTTTCTGAACATCAGAAGTGCAGATAAAGTTTATTGTTTTGTGGGATTGTTTAGTTGGATGTAGTGCTGCTCTTTAAAGATTAGGCCAGCCTCATTAAACATAGGTGTATATTAACCACTTCGATCTACAGCTTCTGCCTGTCTTCATGTTTAGCATTTGGTTGGTGCTGAATGCTTACTTCATTTTTAGGTTTAACTTGTTCATGCAACTGAAGCTTATCTAATCTTTTTTTTCCTGAAGGAAAACAAACCTGGAGTCCAGAATACCTCATCCTCCTTTAGTGCTGTGCTACCTCCCTGCTGACTGTCAGGGATGGGAAGGGCAATAGGTATTGCCCCCTGTAAAATGGGTGAATGGGTATGTTTGGTTTTGAGGTGGGAAAAAAATGCCATCCAATCCTGATATTCATTTTGAAGCTCAAAGATGACATAGAAACTGCACGCCAGGGAGGAATGCCCACTGAGGAGGAAGAAAGCAGCTCTGCACTCCTCTGTGATTGGGACTGACTGTGTTGTTGCTGGGTGGAACAGCGTAATGCTGTTGCTGCTCCTGCTCCAGCACAGTGATGTTTCTGTTCCAGATTGTGCTGACTCACATTCAAGAAAATATGATACACAGACACAATGCACTGTAACTCTTTTCCTTCCCCTCAGTAACCTCGGTAAGTGTTTGGTTTCTTTTTCCTCTCTTTGGCTAGTGTGGTGCTAATATAGCTTTACTGTTAGAATTAATAGGAAGGGGAAAGGCAACCTTGTAAACAAACTGGTAGCAGACAGATTAATCTTGGAGAGGGCATTTAAATGCAACCTGCTGTTTGTGGTACCTCCACCTCCCTTTAAAGCTGATCAATCCCGATAACTCACCCATCTCTACAAACTACACTTGTTAGAGCTGTGTTCTTAAATGGGAGAAGTGCTTACAATGCCCATTTACAACTGTATTCTCTTTAATTAGTCAGCACAGCCAGTGCTGCAGGGATAGATCACTTGCCTTTAAAGATTTGAGAATGTTAATAGTACAGTAAATCATTTTAATTATTATTGGATTAATGTTGTGTCTCGAAGAACATCTAATGCAAATCACAAGAAATGGCCTGAAGTGACCCAAGGGTTGTGCTTTATTAGAAAAGTAATAGGTCCATTGCTTAAATATAAAAAGAGGTTCTTTCTTCAAATGTCACTCGGCACTGGGCTTTTCCATGTGTGTATGTGGAAATGAAATCCTTTTACTTCCACTTTGTCCACAGAAAGTTTCTGTAGCTCATGCATTAAATGGCTGAGACAGCAGCTATAATATCAAGAGATGAAGAGGAGATCCAAAACAGCAGTGATGATGAAGACCTATTTCCGACTCATGATGCTGTATCAGCATCCCCTGGTTGCTCTGCCAGCCCTTCTCTAGACAGCCTTGATGAAGACAAGGGAAGCTCAGCAGTGCCAGAAAGACTGTCTGTCCTCTCCAGCAGGGCAGTGGCCCAGCTAAAAGCCCTGACTGGCCCAGAGATGGGTAGTGGTGGCCAGGCACAGAGGACAGCCCCGGGGCTGGCTGAGCGTCCTCTGGCAGCCGTAGATGCATTGTTAGGTTCCTCCTTGTGCCCTGCAGCAGCTGATAACCTGCTGCCTGTGGACCTTGCCTCCCTGCATGCCAAAAGCGGAGGCAAATTGCATTCCGAGGCGCTGCAGGCCCCAAGGGTGCCCGGTGAGGCCGGCGAGGCCGTGCAGGCTGGGACTGACACGCAGCAGGCAGCGAGCGTCATCGAGGGCAACGCGGCCTCTTGCGGTTTGGGCCGTGTGGTTTGGATGAAGGCCACAACAGTATTGGAGACCTTAGAAAATAAGAAAAAGGAGGAAAAGGAGAAGTACCGGCTCCAGCTAGCTATGTACCGACGGCTGCTGCTGCTGCGCTCCATCAGGAGTTTGCACAGGCAGCTGGAGCAGCAGCAGGCCAGGCTGCAGGAATGCTATGGCACCGTGATAAATACAAAGAAAGAAGTGTTGAAACACATTTGCTCAACCTCGCCCTCACCTTTGCCATAATCGTGTTGTTGCCTGCAGAAATGAGCTTTGCAATGCCACCAGAACCCCCAGTAAGCTTGCATGCCATAGGGGTGGTGTCCTCCTGTGCGCCAAGCAGAGAGGAAACAGCAGCAACAGATCAACAAGAGAGGAGACAAGGCACAGCATTGGCCACTGAATTTATCTGGAGGAAAAGAAAAGAAGGGTGAACTTGTGCAAGAAGCTGAGTCCTGATGCCCGCCCATTCAAAGCCTCAAGGTGAAAAAGGATTTTTTTCAGCCAATAGGTTTGTAAAAAGAAAAAATCACTGCAAACTGGGAACATACTCTGTCACCTGATGCATAAAGGTGGCTGGATGCAAGGCTGCTGCCTGCTGAATATGTGATGTGGTACATCTCCCTTCTACTTTCAGAGCCAACAAAATTTGAACAGAATTACGGTTTATTTGTCTGCAAGAATACCTGAATTTTTAAAAAAACAGGATATTTGAAACACTTAGGCTCAGGTTTGATTATATCTACCTAACTCCCTGTTTTTCACAAAACTGCTAAGGACACTGTATGTTTGCAACATCTACTTTCCTTTAAATTTTTTGTCAGATTAATCAGAAATTATTGTGGGAAGGTAGGGCAGCCAAACACACACAGGGAAAGAGTGCAAATGCCTAAGCCTGATTTCCTCAGGAAAGTAAGCTAAAAACAAAGGCCTTGTAGTCTGATGTTGCACTGGAAACTCAGGCTGGCAGTGCCAGGGGAATGTTCAAGGTCTGCACAATTATTAATCTGCTGCTAATTCCCAGTGGCACTAGCATCTGCAAATCAAGCATATTTTGTGCCTTACTGCTGTCATTTAATGGAAGTTGGTGACAATTAGCACTTTTTATCCAGGTGTATTAGACATGTGGAAAACCCTGGAGCGCTGTTTCTCCAATTGCAAGGTTAGGATGCCTGCAGGGAATTTGATGTCAGTATGCAACAAACATGCAGGGAAAAAAGAAAACAAAAAGATGCAACTTTTTTGTATGCATTTAAAAGGCAATGTGTGTCACTGTTACTGAACAGCAAATTAAATAGTTTAATGTCCTGTTTTAGGATCAGATTCTAGAAGAAAAGATACAGAAAAGTTTACTATTCTAGGATTCCAAGGGATATGGAAAAATCATATTTTTTTCAGATATTTATTTCTGATCATACCGGCTTTCCTTTCCCCATTGTTTTTTATTGTTTTTTTTTAAATATAATAGATTAACTAGATGGACAATCCAACAGCTTCAGGTGTGGGGTTTTTTTCTGCATAAAAAGACATCCTATCTGCATGAGAATAACGTGCTATATATAGGAAAATTTTTATTCTCACCTTTTTTCGGTGCATATACGGAGCGGGGTATGTGTGTGTTGGTATATGCACGCACACACAACTCCCTGTATTCAAGAGGTTGTGAAAGGCTGGTGCTTCTTTTTCTCTAGCAGAAGCAGGAATAATCTCTCAAAATAATCTCTGCTGTCTACGAGGAGTTTGGTTGATTAGATTCACATGCACACATCTGTGAGCAAGGTATTGAAGTAATTCAACAAATGAAGTGCAGCACAACATTGTCATTATTCCGTCTTTGTATTTCTGCGCACCCAAAATTATGGAAGCCCCCTGGGTATGCACAACCTTAGATAGGTTCATTCATTTCCTTGGGCCCTTGTGTAGCCTCTCATGCAGCACAAACCAGTAACTTTGAATGCAGAATTACCATAGAAACATCCTTGGAATCAAGGAGATATTTGAAGGAGCATCCTCTACTGCCTCATTTGGGGAATTCAGGTTGCCAGAGGCCTTTAGTGGGCTACAGAAGAGAGCTGGTGGCCGCATGTGACTGGGAAACATTACTCCTGAGCTCTGATCCTGTCTAGCTCTCTGCTCAGCCTTGGGAAAGCTGTTCTCTCAGCAATGCAGGTTTCCTAAAGAAAATATGCTTAAATACTAAACTTGCCTCTAAGGTAACCTGTTCTTTCTTCACGTGCCTCTCAAGAAGGATTCAAGGAGTTGATCATGGCCAATAGGGCCATGTAAAGATTTTTATATCCCCTCTCTGTACTTCTTGAACTGGAAAAGCCATTTTGTCATTGGTTAAGAGTAACTGTTATGTGATGAGCAAACCACTACGATGTCACATCCTTTGGGGAAAAATGTCTTAGAGAAGGGTCACATCTTAAAAATATGGCTGCATTTTGAAACCAAATGTCAAATGGTTTCCATTAGAAAGAGAGTCAAAATGGATATTGCTGTTAATGTTAGCTGACTTTTGCAGTGAAAAAGAATTATATTTTGAAATGTATTCAGGTTGACTAATACTATCATGTAACTTTCCACTGAAATAAAATAGATCAATGAATATACAATATTCCTCCCCCACAAACTACTAAAAATTCCTGTTAAAACAAAGTAACTGTTTTTCCTCTGTGGCTGCTGAAGTACAGCATTGTCCTGCATTTGCTGCAAGAGTGCCCTGCATTACTGCATAGAGCTACCTATATTGTCATATTTGCATTAAAGAGTGACTAGAATAAGATTAAGAAATACTTTTCACATAACAACCAGTGCAGAAATAGTTAGTCTGTCAATCTGTCCAACTGTAAATTCTTTGTGGCAGAATGGTGATAATATTTGTTTTCTACAACATCTCATAAAATTCCTTGATCCTAACTGGGATTAGTAGATGCTTCTGCATTATGAATATTAAATACCAAAAGATTTGTGCATGAGCAATGCTGTCTGATAGCTGGCAGGAAAATGAAGCTGAGAGTTATTCTGTGTGTGCACACTCTTGCCATGTAGTACTTCTATGGATACATGAAAAATAAATATTAACTGAGGAAATAACATCAGATTTTGCAAGAACTTTTTTAGCTGGCGTTTCTGGTGTGATTACTAATAAGTGCAGTTAGACAAACCAGTTAAAAGCAATATGATTTTTAAAATAAATTATTTTAGAACTTTGGAAAATGTGGCTTAACAGCTATGTTTTTTTTTCCTTGTATGTTTTAGTGTATTTTGGGACTCGAAAGCCAGTGAGAAAGTTCCAGAATGACATGGGTAACTCTTGGAGGTGTTTTCAAGCATATCAGACTGAGCAGCAGTCTGAGGTTGAATTAAAGTGTTTCCTCTCATATTGTTTGACCTCCGCATGTTTTTAAGAAGTTTGGTCATTTGGGTGAGGTCCAAAGAAATTTCTTAAAATTTGTATTTTTATCTGAATTCAACTCATGGCCCTCAAAGGAACTGGGCTGATGATGACAAAATGAGGAGTTTCAGTAGGGCCTTTCTCCTCGTTATCTTTACTGGCTGCCAGAGATTGCCAAACTAATGAATTCTATGAGAAATTTTTCCTGCAACCCAACAACTTGTGTACTTTTACAGCAAAGGTTGAAGATAAATGATATTGCCTGAGTCATAAGATCCTGCTGCTCACCTATTTCTGAAATGGCAGAAAATAAGAATGGGTTTACTGTGAAAGAGTGGAATATTTAAAAGCTGTCAGCCCTCTTGGAATGGAAACACTAAAAAAGTTGTAGCTTGTGCCAACCTAAACCCAAGAAACATTCAAGAACAGAATGGAGTTATACATACATACATACATACATACATACATACATACATATATGTATATATGTGTACATATATATATACACACACACTTGAGTGACAGAATACATTAATGAGATGTTCTTTAACACAAATGCTTTTCTTCTGCATCTCCAGCATTTCAGTTAGCTAATCTGCTGTCCTGGAGTTCACAGTCAGAACTGTGGTTTTGCTGTTTCTGTCCTTGATGGTCATGAGTCAGCCAAGATAAACAGCCCACCTTAACATGTTTGCTTATTACCTTTTGTGATGTAGCTGTGTGAGGGATTTGTTCAGTTCATCCTTCCTGAGATTTTCCTATGTGTCTAACACATCTTTTAATTAGGATAGTGACAATTTTATGTATTTAAATTAGTAAATTAGTGATGTTTTGGCAAACTTATGAGCCATGTACTACTAAATGCAGATCACCCTGCACTGTTCTTGAAACTGTGAAAATTGTGGGCTCTGGTCATGACATAAGCATACAAAACATAGATTTAAAGATCAGGTTGCTTAAATCTTTCCTGGATGATGAGTAGACTAGGAGAAACCCTTTAGAATCCTTGTTGCAGTCTATTTCTATAAATGTTATGAATCTAGGATATAAATGAATCCAATTTTCTCTAGAATTGGAGAGGCCCTTTTGCTTATAACTGTTGAAAGTAGCGCAGTAATGCAAAGTTAGTTTTGGGATACACTTGAGTTGGACTGTACTCCAAAAGCATTCAGCAAGGAGTTAGTTTTAAAACTCAGAGATTCAGAGTGTGATATCCAAAACCCTGGATGGTGGATGGAGGAGTGGAACTACAAGGATGAGAGGTTTCAGGGTCTGATTTTTAATGCAGCATGCAGAATGCCACACTGGAGTGTTCCGTTTCTCAGTTAAAGATAACCTTTTACTTCTTCTCACCCCTGAAAAACCCTTTTGGATCATTAGGCTAGAAGCCTTCTAACAGTTGATTGTGCAATATGCAAGTTGATACCCATCTCTGAATCTGAGTGGCCAAAATTTATACGTATAACTTACTCCCCTAAACCTGGCTGCCAGCTAAATTGTAATATATTAAAGTTGAGTGTCCTACTGATTTTCAATGTCATTTGAATCTGTGCCAGGACTTTGAGGTATGCCTTATGCATGTTCCTTCTTTATTTTGATGCATTTCTATCTCCTGGTGTCTTAAAACAACTACAAATGTCTCGTGTGGAAATAATCTTTGTCTTTCTGGATTTTCTGCTTTTGGAGAAGGCTTTCCCATAAGTCCCTTGTGCAGTTGAAGAAAGAGGAGTTAGTTGTTTTTTATTTAAAAATGTAATTTAGTGAAAACTTGAATCAGGGGAGAGGGTTCTGTGAAAACATTTTTAGAGGTTTTGCTTAAATGTTGAAAATAACAGAGGTTCTTACAGCTGCAGCTAAGTTTCCCTAACTGTATTGATCATCTTCTCACACAATTTTAGCCAAGTCTACAAAACAAATGAAAAAGTTCCCTCCATATCTGACAAATGAATTCTCTAAGTTCACAGCCCAAAGTGACTTGTATGTGCATGAGAAGCAAGAAATTGTTGACAATCTCAATAAAAGTTACATTTTCCCTTTGATGAGTGGGGGTTGGAAAAGAAAGGGAATGTGTGACCATTCATCACAGCACCAGGCTCGTTAGTACCCAGGAACTTTCTACTCTAAATGACAAAGAGTTTCACTGTCACCAAGGAGAAATTGCTGCTGACCTTAGACCTCTTTTTGGAAAGTAAAATAATGGAGCACAGGAGCAGAGTTTGATATTTGACTGAATTCTACACAATTATCATGCATGTGTATATAATAAAATTAATTCTGTGTCTCTGCATTGTAGCCTCAGGCAAGCAGCGTACAATCAGTTTTGTATGTATAATAGATCACAGAGTTGTTCATGAATAATACAAATGCATTGAGCAGATACTAGTGAGTGAGGATGTTTGTCTTTGCATGGAATCGAAGTGAACATGTAATATTGTGATAATATATATTTGATGAATTCAGGTCTGACTTGTCTTTGCCATAGCCTGCTAATTCCCCGACAAGGGTTGCCACAATAATTGAGTTTCCAATAACATTATGATTATTTCCACATGATAATTTAATTGTAGGTATTTTTTAATATTGTAATAATGTAGATTTGTGATTATTATGCATTTGCATGCAGATTTTCATGGTGTCTTGGAGCACATCCCTACATTTATAACTTAATTTCCTCTATTATTGCATATATATTTTGGGATGAACTCATTAATGCAAACTAAAAAAAAGAATAGGTCTTTTTGGTCATTTTGCCTTTATTATAAATGGTTGAAAGCTTTGCTCGTTTTTTTAGAACAGCCTAAACAAGTGAATAAACAAAAGACAACTGTAATTCATGGATGGATTAATTTAAAATAATAATGTAATTACAAATCGTGGCAGATTTGTCTGGGGTAATTGGGATGTAGACTGGTACAAATTTTGCTATACTGAGACAAAGCTTGTTTAAATGAATCACCAAGTTTAGTAGAGGCTGTTTTCCATTCTTCCAGTTCCCCAATAGAACATGATGGCAAAGTAACGCTGGCTCAAGATTCTTGGGTGCCTGTACAAATGGGTATAACAACATAGAACCTGGAACTTCTGTATCTAGCTAATTATATTATTATACAATTTTATTATATATAATATTATTTTGGCAAGCAAAATATCCAGATAGAGTTGTATATACAGAGTCATGACACCATCAGGAGTTTCAATCAGTTAATTTGTCCACTCTAGAAAGAGGCTGGTCGCTTGCCTTATAACAACCTTCAAACTGTGTTAGAGAACCTGGCCTGAAACTCAATGGGATAAAGGGAGGTAGAAATAAACTCTGTTTCCATTATTGGAGCAGACATTTGTGTGATCCTGTGAGCATTCTGCATCAAATAGGAGAGTTCTCTTCCAGGCATATCAGATATCCAAAGTGGAGGAAATGTCTTTAGCTAAATATATCTGTTTTGAAAAGAAATTTCCCAGAGAAAATGACATGGGCTTTGGGTGTTGTTTGTTTTTCTGGTATGTGTAGTTGGAGGACTGTCCTTTTTTTATGTGTAAAATCTCAGCTCTCCAAAATGAACTGGGGTCACAGCCGGGTTCTTGGTCCCTTTCAGGCTATTCATAACTGATGTGTTCATTTCCTATTGCTTGCATGGCAGGAACATGCAACAGAACTAGGAGAACAGGCCTGGTCCAAATCTTCAGAAATGGAAGTTTAAAACTAGGTGCTGGAATATCTAACTTACTGCTCTGTCTTCACATTGCTTTTCAGTGCACATCAATGCTACTGTTTCCAGTTTGGTTTGGTATCTGCTTTCTCCCTTCAAATGTATTCCTCCAAATTAACCACAGACAAGACACAATGAGATTAAGTCCCTCTCTTTTGTCTTTCCTTGCTCTGTGGACCTAAGAGTTGAACAGAAAAGCTGAAGCCTGATTTAGGCAATGAAGAGAACAGTCATGATTCTGCAGTATAAGATGATCTCTCTAGGTTTTGCAGCAGAGCAACTACTTGTATACATAAATTAAATTCTGTCCTGAAGCCCATGAAGCCTTTTACAAACTCCATATCTCATTAAGAATATCTTGGTAAATGGCTTCTCTTGAAGCGCTGAAAGTATCAAAACATGAAGGTAGTCCCATTGACAGATGTTTATAAATCTGTACCCATACTTTGGTGAGATCAAGAGATAGCTCAAAACAAGATCTGGAAGGTCACTCTAACTGTTATTTTATTTTATAATGGCCCACCAGCATAAAATTAAGGATGTCTTTTACCCTGTGGCATTAGATCTAAAAATTATCTCAGGTGTCATTTGTCATACATGACAAATGACATGGAATATAAACACATCATTCTCTCCATAAGTCTTGGGTGCATTTTACAATTCTTGCTTGTTGTGAAGAAACTTGACATTGTGTCAGATAATAAATTATTTATAATTGGATGATTGTCCTCATCTTCCCTATGTTTCTGATATTACTTACACAGATATGATAGGTGTGTGTACATAAAATTAGAAGAAAGCCTGTTGAAAAGCACAGATTTGTGTCATATTCATGTGTAATTTTCTCTGATGAAAGAAATTGAGACTAAAAATTTATAATGCAGAGTATGTATCTGTCCTCAACCCTTTCAGCAACACAGAGGTTAGTACTTGGAAGAGCTTAGTAGCTTATCTACCTTTATCTGGTGGGTTTTGAACTTAAGTCACTCATTTACTCAGAGATGACAGAATTATTCTGGTATTTTAAACTGGGGGAAGTGGAGTCAGACCCTCAGCCTTTCCTATCTGTTCTGCTTCTCACTTGGTAAAAAAAAATTGAATGATCCTTAAGGTTTCTTCCAACTGAAACCATTCTATGATTCTGTGTCCCTTTCTTTGCTCACAATGTGTGACAATGAAACATTTAATTTCAGGGCACTTGGAAGAAAGGCTTCTTTTGACACAAAATCATTTGTTGTTGCTGCTTTGTTCCTTCAGTTGAATAGGAAAAAACCCCAACAAAACACCTTCAGTTTTCTTGCAATGATTTTTTTCTATTTGTAGCTGTCTCTGAAGCAGTGGGACTATGCCACTTCTGTGTGAGGCAGGGATATTTTTTCTTGTGCACAGACCAACACTTCCTGGCTTATTCTTAAGGAAAGCATTCTTCCAAAATAAGGAGGTATTTATGTACTGCCTATTTTCTCTAATGCTTGAAAAATGCATGATTCATGGCCACTGGTTGTTCTTCTCATAGTAGGGGAGGTTTATTTGCCATAATCCTGGAAGTCTGGAAGTCCCCTGTGTGTCAAATGATCACTGATTGTATTGGGAAAGGATGGTTCAGTGACAGCAGGCAGCCCCTGGGCAGAAAGAGGTGTCCCTTGTCCCTGAGCAATAACCTGTATGGATGATTGAGACTTGTTGATAGACCTCCATGGAAGTCTTACCTAGTAGTCAGGGCTTAGCAGCGTCTGGCTAG